CTGTGTAAAATTCAGGTTAAGAAAGGATATGAAAAACAAAAACACTCTCTTTAATCTGAGAAGTCCTGAAGAGTGTAAAGTTTTAATTAAATACAAATTAATTATGAAATATTTTAATATGCAATTTAGGTATTAAATAAAATTAGCATTTTTCTTCCTTAAGTATGTGTTATCAAGTTTCAAGAATGTTAAAAACTTCTCTGATGATTTAATCTGAAATCATTCCTACAGCAAAATTCATAAATAATAAATATTATCTTATTAATCCATATTTTAGTTTAGCTGGGTCTCAGAGCAAGTTAGTTCCTCAGGGAATGTGGTGTTCTTTATAAAAGAAGGTGATGAGATGTAATCTCCAAGGAATTAAATTGTGAAAACAATCTCGGTATTGTACATGCTAATATAAATCTGTTATTCCCTTTCCGCATCTATCACAACACATTTTAAATTGTGGCTGATCTTGTATGCAAATAGCTGTCTTATTAGAAATTGCAGCTCTGTGTGCTCATGTCTCCCTGGATTTCTTGGGAGTTTGCTATCTAACCATCAAAGCAATAGAAATGAATGATGATTGCTGCAAGGCTTTGAAGAACAAAGAAAAGTCAGAACGTTTTAGAGGTTCTAGATGTCTGAGGCATTGACAGTTTGCACCATACACATGAATGGGTATCTCTTTACATCATTTAGAATAGCCTCAATGTGTTTATTAGAAAAGAAAATATTTTTCTACCTTCTTGTGTTTGTCACAGCTAATAAATGTAGGGCATTTGTGCGTGTGTGTGTTCTCTAGGCCTTTTTTGTTTGTTTCAACATTTGGTAAAATTTTATTTTGCTTAAAGAATAGAATAGAATACATAAAGAATGGAATGATTTCAAAGAATAAAGGTTTAATTTTTGAAATTTTGGTTAAGGATTATCAGTCACTAAAATAATTAGGAACAAAAATTAGGAACAAAAATCAAACTAGCTCCTCTCTATTGTATCTCTTAGGTTGAAATTCTTTTAAAGTTTTTATATTCATAGGTTATATAAATGTAAAATGTATCTATTCACAGAGTATAAGCCTTTATAAAAATATAGGGTATCACCAAAAATATTTTGGTATCGCTTTGTTTATTTAAAGTACAATTTAAAAAAAGTAAAATCTAATTTACTTTGGTGGGTAGATTTTCTTTATGGATCCCTTACTTTTTTTATTTTCTACAGGTAAGGAATGAATAAAATGCTGGCCTCTAAAGTGTTATCTCTGTTAGGATGTTGGTTTAAATGACCAGGAAGGAATTAAGGGAAGCATAGTGAGTGACCATTTGGGTAGCTAGGCTTAGTAATTTGCTTTTTAAAATTTAAGCTATTCCATGAAGGCAACAGACAAAACTAAATTGAAGGGGTAATAATGCATCGTGTATGTATTTATTTAAACTAACTTCTCTCCTAAAATGGAGTGATATTTTTTCTAGCCCCACATAATCAAGATTAAAATAACTTGACTCCTCCTTGCAATTAATAAATGCAAAATACTATGCAAATGGTTGCTATATGAATAAATTATAATATATCTATTGATATTTTTTATGATGCTTGTATTAAAGTTCTGAATAATCACAAGTGAGAATATAGGATTAGGTGATGTCTTGGTTTTAGTTCTGAAATTTTAAAGTTAAACCACATGGTGTATGAGAAGTGAAGACTTTATTTATTTGACTTTTTGTCTTACCTTGCACATTCCTAAATATTACCATAATATTAAATATGAAGATTATTATGGATAGAAAAATATTTTTTAACTGAATTTATGTTTTTACACATAAGTGGTAATTATTAATTTGGGGATGCCTTTTACTGTGTTATGGACCACTGTTACGATTGTTCAGTGTGACCATAAATATAAATAAACAATACAGTTTGATATGAACAGATTTCAAAGGCATTTGGCATTTGAGAACCGTAATAATGCTCTTTAGGAAAATTACAGTTTAATAATTTATGTGAAGACATCTATACATACTTGTTTTAGTTAGGATGATACTACCTACTGTAACAAACAAATATAAAATGTATAGAGGCTCAAATGCTGCAATGATTCCTGTTGTCACAGCAGTTACTTGAAGTTACTTGAGTAGCTTTCCTTCATGCAGTCATTCAGGATCCAGGATGTCATAGGCTCTGTCATCTTCATCAGATTATTTCCAGTAGCACCCTGGGGGCCGTCTCCATTTCAGCCAGGTGAATGAGAACACATGGAAAATTTTTATAGGTTAGTTCTAGAAGTAGAAAACTCTAATTTATCTATTTTTTTTGTTGGCTGAAACTCAGTCACATGCCCGTAGCTAGCAGCAAAAGGAAAATTGTCAAGTGAGCTCAGGGGAAAAATCAAAAACAAAAACAAAGCAAAAACAAAGGTATACATATATTTTGGTAAGCAGCCAGCAATTTTTCCTATAGTCCACCTTTCTGGTTGTGAAATAGTCATGCACATCCTCTTTCCTGCCTCTTTAGTAGGTTGATCTTAAAGTTTCCCACTTACTGTATCCGCACAGAGTCAAGGATCAAGCCAGTGCACAGTTCTCCCTCTTAGGTTGGAAGGTGGTTCCTTGAAGTTTACTGACTATCAAATTTTCCTAATGGCAAAGCAGAGGATAACTGCTTCATATCTCCTATAATCACTCCCATTTAGAAAGGGAAGACTGGGAAGGGTGAGAATCACAGCAATCACTGATCCAGCATGACCATGAAACCTGCTGTGCACAAGGGTGCATGAGGCCACTGAGAAGGTCCATTGTCCCGACAGAAATTTCTAGCTTGGATCCTAATTATGGTCCTTTTAGAGAAGTTCCCTTGCCCATTTTTTCTATGGCTCTCCCTTCTGGATGGTTCTCCTTCCAGGTCACATATGAAGAGGATGTTACAAATCTAGAATTTGCCTTCCTTGGGGGCTGCAATCTGTTGGTTTAAGTTTAGAAGTCCAAGAATTGATTTTCATTCACATACCTTTTTTAGACAAAGTTGGTTTCCTTGTAAATGTAATTCCCTCAGATTTTAGTAACCTTCTTACCATTTCTAGTTAATTCCATGTGACACTGCAATTTCTTTTCCAGACATCTGCTTATTTTCTATGTTACAGAACCCCTGCACTTCTCTGTTTCTACCCAAATACTGGCTGCCTCTGTGATCTGAAACAATAGGTTCAGGTGAGAGGGGAACATCCCAATCGGCTCTCTCTCTCTCTCTCTTTCTGTCTTGTTTTTTAAGTGAGAAGTCCTTTTTTTTTTTTTTTACATTTATTTATTTTTGAGAGACAGAGAGAGACAGAGCACAAGTGGGGGAGGGGCAGAGAGAGAAGGAGACACAGAATCCGAAGCAGGCTCCAGGCTCTGAGCTGTCAGCACAGAGCCCAACGTGGGCTCGAACCCACAAACTGCGAGATCATGACCTGAGCCGGTGTTGGAAGCTCAACCGACTGAGCCACACAGGTGCCCCTAACTGAGAAGTCTTAATGGGCCTTTATTCTTCAAAGCCCTTCTCACTTTTATTTCTTGCCATTTGGCTTTTAGAAGAATTTGGCTTTTTCAACATTGTTATTCCCCAAATTACCAAGCTCGTTTATAATTTTATATTTTTGCTTATGAATTGACCAGTTCTTGTCTGACCGCATCTTTATTTTGTAGTTCCTTATCAGAAACAGCGAGGAGCAATTTCCAGGCATCATCCAGGGAACAATTAAGTCTGTAATAAATAGACTTCACCAACATATATAAATTCTCAATCACAATAGAATTTCATTCCTCTTTCAGTAGAGTATTATGATGGTAAACAAGTCAGAGAGAGTATCCTCTTCTACCATAGGCTGACCAAGGTACTATGTTCTTAATATGTACCCTTAAGGTTTGTTGGGGGATAATTTTCATTCCAGCCAATTGGAAGGGGAAAGATAATGCAGCTGTCGACAAAGGAGATTTTTAACCTTCGGGTTTAGGAGTGACACATAGTACTTCCATTCATATTCTGTTGGCAATTACTCAATTATATATTTGAAGTGAGGCTAGGAAATATAGTTTAACTCTGTGCCAGGAAGACAAAGGAGAATTTGGATTTTGGTGAGTAGGTTGTAATCTGTGCCACATACATATTTTTTTAAGTTTTCATTTAAATCTAGTTAGCAGTGTAATATTAGTTTCAGATCTGCATTTTAGTGATTTTGGCACTTTAATACAACACCCGGTGCTCATCACAAGTGCCCTCTTTAATCGCTATCACCTATTCTGCTCATCCTCCCACTCACCTGCCTTCTAGTAACCATCGCTTTGTTCTCTATAGTTAAAAGCCTCTCTTTCTTGTCACCCCCTCTTTGCTCATCTGTTTTGTTTCTTAAATTCTATATATATCTGCCACATATTTAAATCCAATAAAAATAATAAGGTTTGAATGTTGTGTTGTGGATTAAATCAAACAGTGCATATAATGTAGTAAGCATAAGAATATTAGTAAATGGTAGTAGTTTATACTGTTTTCAGAAGGAGAGACAGCACTAGAACTCAAATTTAGGCACTTTTGTTAACTGTGTCATGCTTTTTAAAGCAAAATGTAAAGTGTCTGAGATTCAAATATTAGTTTTTATTTTGTAACATGGTAGATAATTGGAAAGAAACATTCTGCCAATAGCATGCCTACAACCCCCACCTATCTGAATGAACAGTACATGATTTTCACATTTACAGATAATACTCTCTAATAGTTTGGTTTAATTGAGTATTGATAGTACTTGATAAAAATGAATGTTACTGAGAACAAATAATTGGGAAATTTAATTACCAGCAATTGTATCCTTGATAATTTATTTAGAAGATTTTTGTGTTCTTTATTGATATCTAAAGGGAATAAGTCAAAGACATTTTTACCCATTGCTTTAAAACTGAGTTTTATGGAATAAATTATTCCTGAAGTTTGTAGATAGTCCTTTTGATTTTTTAGGACTTCATCATAATTATTTTCTTTCTTTGCAGCAGGCATTTTGGAGATCAAAGATGGGTAGAAAAGATGCCTCCACTGTAAAACTTCCTGTTGATCAGTACAGAAAGCAAATTGGTAAGCACTGAATTCCCTTTGATACATTCCTGTGAATTAAGATAAAGAAAAAATCAATTATGTGTGATATTAAGAAAATAACTTTTCCCTAATACATATGATACACAGAATATGAATAATGAAGGACCATATAGTTTTTAAAGAGCAAAAAATAAGTGCAGTCCTGCTTACCAATGAAGAAATACACTTTGTGTACTTGTGATTTTTCTAAGCTCTTATAATTTTTACTAATTTAATAAAAGCAAAAGTACATTGTATTATTATTCTTAAGGGTGGATGCTCTTATATAGTAAATTTTTTTTATTGTTTATTTATTATTGAGAGACAGAGACAGAGCATGAGCATGGGAGGGACAGAGAAAGACACACACAGAATCTGAAGCAGGCTCCAGGCTCTGAACTGTCAGCACAGCACCGGACGTGGGGCTCGAACCCACAGGCCACGAGATCATGACCTGAGCCGAAGTCAGACACTTTACCGACTGAGCCACCCAGGCGCCCCAGTATTTATTTTTAACATTATCATCTATTAAAGCATTTATTTTTATCCATCTGAAAATTTTTAATTTTGTTGACTGAATGGCAGTAATTTGATAAGCTTGAAATTCTTCTTTAAAATTTTACCTTAATAAAATGGTGGACTAGAGAAAAGTCCACTCATCAACTTAAAAATAATAACAGAAAGCTTATCTGTTTTAGACTGTGCTCTAAGTGCAAGATTTTCTACCCATTCTTTTCAAGATTACATGAAGTATTTATAAAAAATTACCTACATATGAAGTCACAAAGTCCACTCAATTTTCAAGAATCTGTATCCTACAACTAGAACTTTGAACAAAGTGTAGTAAATTAGAAATAATTTGGAAACAAACTCCCATCTTGCACTTTTTCTTTTTGCATGTTCCTACTCATTCCCACCCATTCCAACTTCTTTGGAAATAAAAAAAGTAATAATTAATGAAAACCCCTTCTAAATAACTGAAGGATAAACAGAGAAGTTCAAAGACAAGTCAGAAAATAATTTGAAATTATTCATACCAAAAGAGCAAATACCTATTTCATAAATGTGATATATAAGGTGTACCCCATAAAGATATTTCTATAAAACAAAAGAGATGCAAAATGAAAAGAATATTTAGAATATATATAACCAATGAAGAATTTATATGTAGAAAAATAAAGCCCTACTATAAATAAATAAAGTGCTTTGGAAACCAATAGTAAAATGGGTACAAAACATGAAGAGGCAATTCATGAAAGAGGAAATCTAAATAGACAAAAATAATAACAAAACAAACAACTATTACAATAAAAACTGAAATCAAAAGAGTCTTGTGAGGGGCGCCTGGGTGGCTCAGTTGGTTAAGCATCTGACTTTGGCTCAGGTCATGATCTCACGGTTTGTGGGTTTGAGCCCCATGTCGGGCACTGTGTTGACAACTCAGAGCCTGGAGCCTGCTTTGGATTCTGTGTCTCCCTCTCTCTCTGTCCCTCTCTAGCTTGTGGTCAGTCTCTCTGTCTCTCTCTCTCTCTCTGTCTTTAAAAAATAAATAAACATTAAATTTTTTTTTTAAAGAGCCCTGTGAAATGATCTAACTCATCTAACTGATAGATAAAAGCAAATTAAAAAACAGTATTTCTAACTACATTAATTCTTCACTTTTAGGATGTTAATAAATCGTGTGGGTTGTTATGTTATTTATGTGTTTAAAAAGAAGGGCTAACTTATCAGATTGAAGTCTGATCAAATGGGATGTGCTAACCACATAAAGAGTAACTATATAGTGGATCAATTCACAAACTCTTAAATATACAATTCTTAGAATTTTGACAAGTGTATATACTCATGTAACTAGAAATGCCAATTTTAATAAAAACATTTCCATTTTCTCAGGTATTTCTTCAGATCTGCTTCCAGTCATTCTCTACCCACTTCCATTTGCAACTACTGTTTTGATTTCTACCACCATAGATGAATTTTTTCTACTAAAAAAAAAAAAAAGGCCTTCTAAGGCTTTTACTGAAATTGAATTTTATTTAATGATCAATTTTGGAAAATAGACGTTAAAAATTCAAAGTCTTCTGTTTTATAAACATGGCATATCTTTTGTTTTATTTAATTCTACTCATATTCATTAGAGCCAAGGAAGAATGAGATACAGTAATATAATTGTGAGGCCTCAGCCTGTTCTTACACTAAATTGTTCAGAGGGTGCTGCGGTGTGTATTATATTCCCACACAAAGTTCTCTTTCCTGTGTAACTTTCTCTTGAAAATATAAGCTACACAAGACCCAACTGTCTCACCAGGTTCTTGGGAGATCCATGAGAAGTGTTAGACTGGTTTGTAAACCCAGACTGGTGCATGGATATGAATTATCCTGTGTGTACTTTGGAAATACAGTAATCATAATCAAACACAAGTAGTGAGGGTATACTTTTGTTCACTCTTTTTAAGGATAATGCTCTGCAGTCTTCAGATTCTCAAACATATAGTACAGGATATTATAATATATATAAGTTTTTTTGTAAAGACAAAAATGAAATAGAAGAGATATTGACTAATTAATATAAACCAATTAGTTAAGATTAAGTAATTAAAAAAAAAAAAGATTGACTCATTCAAGGATTTTCTCAAGGAAGGATTTTCTAATTTTCTATATCAGAGTTAGAAAGTACCATAAGCCTGAGCTCATACTAATGATGATAAATCTATCACTGGCACTGTCCCCCCTTAAATGGAGTGCTATGCAAATGTTTCCCACATCCTATCAAAAATGTGAGGAGGGAATCAAGCAGCTAAAATTATCCAATATTTCAGTATTGGTGGTAAGAAAACAAGTATCAATAACAAATCAAATGAGTATTATAGTAGTTTTTTTAACATTGAATTTTGTAAATATTAAAGTTATCAGTAAGCTAATTTAATTACCAGTTAACGAACATTCGCAAAGAATAGCGGCATTATGTATTTTCAGTGTTCTCTTATTACTAAATCTCATTTATATAATTTTTGTATGGTCACTCAGTAATGGTGTTTGGCAATACCAGTGCTGTTGTTTGAGTGATGGTTTTAGTATCACTGCTTAATATTTATCTTCTGCTAAAAGTTTTATCTTTTGAATTATGTACTAAATGATAGTGATTAATGGCTTTGATAAAAGCTTTCTTTAAATATTCTTTGCTCAGGTAAGAATCAAATGGACTGGCATTGTGACTGGAAACACCTTACAGATACTGAATCTTCACATTAAATGGACAGGGTTTTAATTACTGTAGCATGATCTTGAAATGTGTAGTGAACTGAGATGAAATAAACTTCTTGCTTTCAAGGCAATAAACCTAATAAAAACTGAATATTCTGAAATATTGCTGACTAAAAGGGGAAATAGTTTAGGTATTATCATTTCTTCAGATATAATATTGTAAAATTAGGTACTAAGATTGCCTAATGTCACATGCATTATTCTAGAGATAAGTTATTTCAAAATTGGAAGAGAATTTTAAAAATTGCTTTAACAGGTGTGCCTGGGTGGCTCAGTTGGTTAAGCATCCAACTCTTGGTTTTGGCTCAGGTTATGGTCTCGCAGTTTCGTGAGTTTGAGCCCCAAATCGGGGTCCATGCTGTGCTGACAGTGTGGAGCCTGCTTGGGATTCTCTCACCTCCCCCTCTCTGCCCCTCCCCCACACACTCTGTCTCTGTCTCTCTCAAAAATAAATAAATAAACAAAAAACCCCACATTAACATAATTAAGATATTTTCTAAATATATGTTATTAAGTATATCAGGCAAAATAATATTTATGTGCTAGGTAAATTATAAAAATACAACTAATTTACTTGTAAATCTCTATTTTCTTATTGGCATATGATATTATAGATTCATTTGTTTAATATGTTCTAGAAAATTGTTAGCCATTGTTTCCTCAAAATATTACTCCAGTTTTCTTCTTCTCTCCTTTTGGGCAAATACCAGAAATTTTATTCTGTGTAACAGGATATGTGCATTTTTAACTGCTAAATTGCTCTCCAAAGTTGCTGTACCATTTTATAGGCCTATAAGCAAAGTAAAGTGTTGTCTATTTCTCCATATCTTTTTGTTACCAGGAGACTTAAAATGTTTGCCAATCTCACACACGTGAAATTGTGTTCATTCTTTTTAGTTTTCATTGTGTTACTTGCTGAGGTTAATCGTTTCTTGTACTTATTGATCTTTTGATTTCTCTCTTTGTGAGTATTTTGCTGCTCCTATTTCCTCTCTTCCTTTCTTTTCCTTCCTTCATTTCTTTCTTTCTTTCTTTCTTTCTTTCTTTC